TAATGAAGGGGGGTGAAGTCCAGGGAGTTTGGTGGCCAAATATAAGGGGTGATGTGATCACAGAAATTGTCTGACAGCCATGATTGGGTTCTCCTGCTTGTGTGGCATGGTGCAGAGTATTGTTGCCAGACATAGGGTCTTCCAGCAGCCACCCTCTTGACCTAGGACAGCACTACCTCCTTAAGGCACTTGATGTTTTTTTTTTTGTTTTGTTTTTTAAGCGTTTCACCCCAAGCAAGGCGGGAAGCCACTAGGACGCAAGGGGTTACAGAAAATTTGGAGCAAGATCAGATAGGAGTGACAGAAGAAAGGATGAGGAGAAGGGTAGTGGATAGATCAAGGCAACTGGAGATACAGAGGCCAGTGAGAGAGAGAGAGAGAGAGAGAGACAGGGAGAGAGAGAGAGGGAATACCGGGAACCCCTTCCTAAACAAGAAACAAGGCATAAGCCTCTACTCATGTCCAAGAGAAGGGGGAGAAATGTTGAGAGTACGTATCTGTGTTGAGTTTGAAGCCCTGTAGGAAGATGAATGAAGACATAACGTCACCATTACTAGTGATCACTCCAAACACCTTCGTAATCACCAGTAGACACATCCAACCTTTTCTGAATCCTCTGCACTGTCCTCAGATTGACACCCAAACACACTGAAATGTTCGTATTGGATCTTTCGGTGTGAATGCCAAGCAGTACAGCATGTTTTCTTTCCAAATTTATGGCGGAGGGAATTGTGTCATGGAACTCTATTTCTTACAGACGCTGCCCAGCTGACCTTACTATATTGTGCAGTCAACAAAATCAAAAACAAACAACGCGCATGCGTTGAATTAAAAATATAAAATGCCGACATGCCGACAATGGGGTTGAACTCAGGGCTACAAGGTAAACTTCAGTACTTAGCCAACGCTTTAACGCTCCGTGTATTGAGTAAAAAGCGAACCTCGAAATTTGAAGAATGTTAAAGAATTCGAAAGACGTCTCAAAGTCGAAAATCTAGATCAGCTGAAACGTTGTTGCTATAACCACCAAGATGAAGAGGACATTTAGTACAAAAAGGATAGGAACACCAAATCGAATAAATTAAATGAGAGTTCCTCATCTTAGAAATTCAAGCAAAACCCACTGTTTTAAAGATTAATTAATTCGTTTTCTACGGCTCATCAACCCTTTGCAGGTTATTTAAAGCCAGAAAATATTTTTAGATTGTAAGATTTTTTTCATTTATTTATTTGTTTTTGTCGGGGAGATAATAAGGGATTGGTGATACAAATCTTACTAATTAAGCTGGGGAGAAGAGGACGATTCATACATTTCCAAATTTGCGCGTAAGTGAATATAACGAACCCCACAGAAATTGGAACTCGGGTCACCGATTAAAAGTTTCGGAGTATTATCCATTGCACCACCTGCACACCCAAGCTTATAGCATCTGGTATTCCCAAGCGGCCACATATTTAGGTACTGACCATTCTTAACGTTGCTGAATTTCGTTGATCGCGCGTGAATCGGTGTTTCAACATGAAATGGCCGTAAGTCTGTTTAAAAGAAGAGATAATATTCTCTCTACCGCTTTCTCTTTCCTAAATAGATATTGTTTTAATAAGTCTTCCTACATCGTAATGATGAACTCGAGAACTGCATAAGATTTTTTTAGTGGCATTTACCGTATCAAATTACTTAATTGCTAACAAATTACTATAGTACTTAGTAAGTTTTGAGTTCAATTCCTGGCGTCACTTGCCATTGTAATCTTAGCCGCTTTTGTCTGGGTTAAGAAGACCTTCTTCCGACAATGAATAAAATGACCAAGCAAATTTTTAGTTGACGCCATCCTGTTGACAAAGAAAAGAAAGAAGAAAAAATAAGGAGTACGCTGTACGCGTGATGTGTCTCGCCTTTAGAAAAATTGACACAATTGGACACATGAATTTAACATTATATAAGAATTCGAACTAACTTAATTACTTTAGTATACGTACCTCCAAATATTCGTTAAAAATTATCATACATGATGAAAAAATGCCTCGAACCTAATAACAACAAAGTTTTAACGTCAAAATCTTTCTTTAAGTTATTATTAAGAAAGACCGAAGGATTTTTTTGTTTATTACAATTGTATTTTTGTTCACCCTTTTTTGAACGTCGAAATTTTGTTTTAAATATCTTGTTCTTCTTGCGTTAGTGGATCAGGAGACAAAAGATAAGTATAGGAAATATTAGTCATTTTTGCGGTGAAAAAAAAAACACATTGATTTAGAAATTCTAAAAAAAATCAAATAATTGTCGTATTTAAATGAAACTTTCAGGATTTATTAATTAAATAAATGAATTAAATTATATTAGAAATGTTACTTTTTTGGAAGATCGTGCTAAAAACATTTTTACATATAAATTATTTAGATTAATTTCTCGAAACTTCATAAAATTAAATAAGTGGGTGTGGATTATGAAATTTTAGAAATTATTTTTTACTACTAAATGTTTATATGAATTATACGTAGAACTCTTTGGAGAATTTAAATCATCAATTTTTTCTTTCTTTTATTTTTCTTTTATTTTCTTTTATTTATTCATTTATTGTAAAACAAAAACACCAGTTAGCGAAAATCTCTGAATCGTAAAATAAAAAAATATAATAAAAGTAAGACATTATTTAATTTGAAAAGCTTTTAATTGCTTTTATGAAGAAGATATATTATGGACAATATTGTCTTAAAAATGTTTTTCAATGTATTGTCTTCATTTTTTAAAATTTTAATTAGAATAATTTATAAGGTTTTAAATCTTTTAAATTACTGTATATTAATGCAAAAATTGTACCGGTTACGTGATATAGATATTAAGTAAAAACTATATTTACTAATTGTAGATGGAAAAGCTTACTACAATTCAGCGACCCTCAATATTTTAAAAAGAATTTTGTATTTGTGAGTGCGCGCGCGCGTCTGTGTGTATAAATGTACCGATTTTCTAAACACAGGCGTCTATACACGACACTATCAGAAAATAAGAGCAATAACTATAGTAAATTTAAAGCCAAAATATCTAAAATTCATTAAAACATTAGATTACGCAGAATATTTTGCTAAATTTTTAAGATTACTGAACAGTTAAAAATTATATAAAAACGGCTAACACGTTATATTCCTCAAGTAATTTTTACTTACACATGCGTCTACTGTGCCAATATTCGATTAACTTCTGCGTGTTAGTCAAGCTGTCAACCTGTCTCCACCTTAAATAAACATCTACCTCCGTGTTAAAAAGTACGATATTTTAAACTAAAAGTAATATTTGTTTCAAATCAGATTAATATAAAATAAATAAATAATTTTAAATCAGCTAATATTCCTCAAATAAAGTTTTAAAAAAGTATTTATTTTGTTTTTTAATAAAGAGAATTACATTGCGATGACAGATGGCTAAAAATGGATTTACAAAAACTCCTTCCAGCTAATTTAAATTAGTTTTGAAATACAGCATAATATTTTGCTTATTAAAATATTAAATTTAATCTATTAGCTTGAAATTATAACTAAAATAAAAGCTTCAAGACAGATTTTCCCTTTAAAAAAAAAATCATTTTAATCCTTATGTATCGCACTTCTATTGATGTACCTACTTTATTTTCAAATAGCAATAATATATGAATCCTTACATTTGTAATAATAAGTGCACAAAGATCAAATTTTCTTACTAGCCGAATAGATGTGCACATATGAGATAAAATAATTTTTAAACGTATATTTATAGTATATTTATGGTAGAAAAGTATTTAATATAAAAGACGGAGCGTATGTAAACATAAGCCATGTGGACAAAGGTATCAACACTGGATCGAGACAGTTTGTTTCATGCTTAAATGCAATCGTCATGGCCTGACCGATCGTTTCATGTTACAGTTAAAATATTCCAAATTACACATAGATAAGTGTGTGTGTGTGTGTGTGTGTGTGTGTGTGTGTGTCGATACATAGATACATTGTATGCACAAGAGTCAACACTGCCTCATGTTTTTATTTTCACGCTCCAATGCGATCTTCAAACCAAGTAGCACTACTCCTTTATATTAGGCTATATATATAGGTCACTGGCATTAAGCAAAAGAAGAATCTGGCCCTTCCCAGTTTTTGGTTATGACTTCGAGATTACTCATTTTTTTAATTTTTTTTTATTATTTATTATTATATACTAGCAGTAAAGCCCGGCGTTGCTCGGGATATTCTGTAGTTAAATTGCTTTGGGGTTTGAATAATTGAACTTACGCACGTATCCGCAGTTGTTGTGGTCACTGATAGGCCAGAAATCTCACTGATAGCAAAATCAATGAGATCAAGGGCAACCGGTGGCAATAGGTGGCTGCTGTGTTGCTGCTCCGTGCTTACCCGAAGACTGCCACCCGTTCATAATCGGTCAAGATTTTTAATTCTGGTAATATAAAATAGTGGTTGCGTTTTCACTGTAAGACTTGCCCCTTCACTATTAAGTCCATAAGTTTTCCCAGTTTTAAGCGGAATACGCGGGCGGTAATGTCATGTCTGTGAGTCTAAATCCTGTCCGGGTAGGAGTTCACGAGTTATCTCAACCCATTTGGGGTTGCAGGTAAACGTTATAAATAAGTCTGGCCACCCATATTGCCTAACGTATGTCATAGCGTCCTGTGTGCGACTCCCCATTGTAGGTAGAGGGCAGAATGCACAACTTCCCTGGGTCGCAGGGATTGACTTCATTTCGAAAGCTGTCGCGTAAGTGTACGTAGGAGTCTGAGTGCAGCTGTTTCTGATGATTACATATAAAACAAAGCCTTTCAGATTCTATCTTAGCGGCCGTGTCATCCACAAACTGGTGGAAAAGCTCCCTGCATCTATGAAGCAGGTTGAAGTCTCCACTCCTAACCATGAAACGGTATGAGTAAAAGATAAGGCTTTGGAATATGTTGTAGGTTGGCCACCCGGAGTATGAAGGGGAATGCCGAAGTGTTAGCCATCGTCACCATAAGTTAAAAGTAAAAGGTACTGCAATGCGTCATATGATCGATGGATCTCTGAAATCCTGCGAAGAGCGTCGCATCTTGATTTGAGGACAATATCGCGAGTACGTCTTGCTCCCCATGTATAATAGCGGCCACTTCGTTGCACGCAGGAGCATTGTAGCGGCGTTCGTGTTCATCATGAGGCCGTTTGTCGGCGTCAATTACAATGCTGAAGGAAGGAAAGGGAGCATTTTCCAAAGCATATTTGAAACTGCGAATGTGAAGCATGGCCTGAAATAGTAGTATGAGGTCCCTGCGAGGAACTCTTCCCGACGGCGGCAAAATACCAATCCGGGTATTGGCCTGTAGGTTGTAGCCTGCAATAATGTACAGCTGAAGGAATTTAGGTGTAGAGGTCTCCTCAAGCAGCAGAGACCCAGTGCGGTGGTATAACTGACCGTGTACTTTGAAAGTTGGCATCCAACCCTCTTCTCTAACCACCTGAGCCACAAATGAGATCATTTGAAAGGAGTTGTTGTATTGCCTAATTGTTTTAAAGAAGTGTTTGGAGTCGGGATGGGAGCCGGCTGTTAGTCCCCTCAGTGGGGTAGGTGGTTCATGCAGAGGTGGCAGTCGAACTTTGCCGGAGGAGCAGAACAGACCGGCAGGCTCCCTGGCCCATTTGCGGGTGTTGCAGAATTGGCAAACGCAGGTCATGGAGACTACATTCATGTCGACACGCGTAGTTAAGTTAATACCGGGGTCGTAATTGAAAGCCAAGAAAGACCAAAAAGAGCTACTGGGACAGGTAACATCACGGACGGCCGCAAGGCGCTGAATGTCGCCATCGAGGCGTATGCGGCGAGATTGGGGAGTTTGGGATAAGCGCACAGCGGCCATGTTTTCAGAAGCCCTTAAAAGTCTGTTTGCCATTGTCTGTGGCCCGTGGGGGTTTCTGGCAGCAGAAGTCGCTGCAGCGTCGCGGGCATTGCGGGTTGCCCGCTGCACCTCTCTCGGACTCCCTTGACCTAGCTGTTGCAGCATCATCCCTGGATTGACGGGCGCGTCTTCGGTCGAATGTTTCAGCTGCCCTTGACCTGCAGTGGTGGCCGTATTTTTAGCATTTCGAACAGACCTACGGAGCAGTGTCTTAGCAGCCCAAGGAGTTGCTGTTGCTGTTGCAGTAGCGTCCCTGGATAGACGTGCGTGCCTTCAGTCGAATGTTTCAGCTGCCCTTGACCTGGAATGTGCTGGCAGCATTCGTAGTATTTCGAACAGACCTACGAAGTGAAGTCTCAGCAGCCCTTGCGGTCGCTGTTACAGCACTGGATTGCCGGGCGCGCCTACGGGCAGGTATTTCTACTGCCTTCGACCTGGCAGTGGTGGCAGCATTCGTAGCTTTTCGCACAAATCCTACGGAGCAGCGTCTCTGGATTGACTGGCGCGCTTACGGTCAAGTGTCCCTATTGCCCTTGATTTCGCAGTGGCAGCAGAGTTTCTTACGTTACCAAGAAGCCTTTGATGATGAGTCTCGGAAGCCTGAGATGCAGAGGTGGTTGCTGCAGACTGTGCGTTCATTCTCGACCGTTGTGCATTCTTGAGCCTTGATCGCAACGAAGCCCTGCAGGCAGCTTTACCAGCCAAGCAGGTGGCACGCTCCTCTTGTGACTGCGAGGCCTGCGTGAGGGCGTTGCGTTAAGCGACCTGTGATAGTCGCATTGTAGTCTGCTCCTGGGACTCGCGGTCCTTCTTACCCCCATAGCGGACGCTCTTGCAGACCGAAGACTAAGATGTACCCTCCTTTTTGGCGGTATGGAGAAAAGTGATGCTGGTAGTGGTTGATTAGGATTGCTCAATTGCAGGAGTTGTACAAAGTCTAACTTAGTATCGCAAAGCATGAGCCAGAATTGGGAAGGCAGGTATTTAAGTAAAACAGCTGAATAAATTGTTTATGGTAGTTGGAAAAATGTAGTTAAGCAGACAAACGGAAAACAAAGACGTAAGAAACAACTTGCGGTAGGAGAAATGATCAGTTGAAGGAGACTATCGTATCAACCGGATGGCGGCGTAACAGGAGCAGGTGAGACCTTCGTTCCACAGCTGTGCACAGCAGGTTCAAATGTGAAGTATTACTGACCAATCGGTTGTGCCAATCAGCGAGCGTCCTAGGGTCTCGAACACCAATCAGCGACCGCGTACTGCACTCAGCCAATGAGATACCGCTACGTGAAGCATGGTCACGCGATGTGTGAATAACAATCAGCTGTAGAGTCTGTAGTGTAGACGTCTCAGTTGAACATACGTTTGATTGGTGTATTCGCAAATTCCGATGAAGATGATTTTCAACTTAGGTATCAGTTCGTCACAAAGGAGCTCACAGGGCAGAAGTTTTAATTGTCACGACTAAAACCCATAAAGTTAATCTAAATCCCAAGAAAGTTGCGAAAAACATCGCCAAATTCAGGTAAACTCGATTTGAATGGGAAGTCAAAAGGGATATGATTTCATTGATTTTTATCCGATAATTGAAACCGATATTGAAAACGAAAGTCAGCACCTCAATACTGTCGGTAAATACTATGCTCAACGGGAATTTTGCTGAAAATTCTTCGACATTTGCGAAAAATATAGCCCAAAATCAGCTAGACTGGACTTGAATCGGATGTCCCAAAGTAATCGATTGTATCGATTTCCTCCAGTAGTTGATATCGATATTGAAAATGAATGTCAGCACCTCATAACTGTTGATAAAAATCAATGCTCAACGTAATTTTGGTGAAAATTCTTCGTAATTTGCGAAAAGTATAGCCAAAAATCAGCTTGACTGGATTTGAATTGAAAGTCAAAAGTGGCATAATGTTATCGATTTTTTCCGATAATTGATACCAATATTGAAGAAAAAGATCTGCAACGAATAACTATTGATAAAACTAATGCTCAACATGATTTTCGTGAAAATTCCTTGCAGTTTGCGAAAAAAAGAGCCAAAAATCAGCTTAATTGGATTTGAATCGGATGTCCCAAAGTGATCGATTTTATCGATTTTTTCCGATAACTGATATCAGTTTTTAAAAACAAAGAAAAGCACCTCAAAAAATAAGTAAGGACATTGCTCATTGTGAGTTTGGTGGATATCACTTGTAATTTATGAAAACTATCACTGAAAAACTGATGAATTTTTTTCGAATCAATATTCGACCCCCTATCGTTTTTATCGACTTTTTCCCAAATCTGAGGAACAATCGAAAATCCGAAGATGTCAAGTACGAATTCCGTAAATTTGTGATCTGTGTGTGAATTTTCATGCCAATCGGACGAACGGTTTGCTCAGGATGAGGTAACAAGGTGACAAACACACAGACACACAGACACACTTACAGAATGCCATTTATCGACACAGATATGGATTCATATATATAGAAGATGTATTCTTACGTAAAAAAAAATATGTAAGTTTCTTTTATAATTTTTTTGCAAATACTCAATTATTCTAACAAATTTTGACAAAATATGTGACAATATTAAGCACCAATGCATGCAGTATTCTTATGTAGATTACGTTTTACTATGGAATAGCTTTTCTTTACAAAATATGAGTCATTTAGATAAGCTGCTTACAATGTGCAGCATCCTTTTTTATTTAATCCATCTCTGACTGTCACCGACATCTGGTTAGTGCTCCCAAATTTTTTGCCAGCCAGTTTGGCTTTAACATCAGCCCATTTGTTCTCTTTTAGATTACGATCTAGCCACTGACCAGTCTAAACATTACGGACAAAGCTTGTTTTTATTATCAACACACAATTTTTCCAGCTTTGGAAGCAACTTTACTTCTCACATTGCATCAAACCCAGATGCATAACCTGCCCCATCTTGCTAAAATTCAGCTTTCGCCAAGATTCATTGTTGTAGACAAACATTTTGTGTCGAATCTTTCACCTAATCTTCGGAGACAGTTTTCTATCTTCGGTAGACAACTCAAAGTGGGACTCATCACTGCGCAAATTATAGACCATTATGGTAACTATAGTGACAAAGATCTCTGTCGGTCTGTCTATCTATCTATCTATCTATCTATCTATCTATCTGCGGACATTTAGGATCATTTAAAATTTGAGGATATCCAGGTTACATTGAATACTTTTCAGAGAATCAATCCTACATTACAGGTGATAGGGCTTTTGATGCGGAAGCACGTTCTAAAAAAAACAATAAACCGAAATGATAGAGGATTGGACACTTTTGCAAAATTGACGTAACAATTGAAAATAAAAAAAATCATGTTTCAAGAAGAAAATTTAAAGAAGTCTGAATAGAATTATGCATTCGCCAAATAATTGGTTAGAAACTGTTGCTGTTCACACACACGCACACACGAACAAGTAGGAGACATAGATAGATAGATAGATAGATAGATAGATAGATAGATAGATAGATAGATAAGAACAGTAGTGATAGAAATAGTATGGACATAGAATTCAGTACTATATAGTGACTGGCAGTTTCACGCCTTATGCGATCATCCTACCATGTGTTAGCTTTCTGGATATAAACCATTGTTGGAAAATTTTCGGCTCTATCCACTGACCAAATGACGAAACCAGATATTTTTACGAATGCTACTGAGTCATGGCGATGAGTTTTCAACAAGAAAGTTTTTTTTTTAAGCATAGTTAATCATTAACATCTACTTATGTACAGAATAAAATGAGAAAACGAAAATTGTACTACATCATGTCTTGAAAAGCAACATTCAAAGTTGTGAATTTTATCTGGTTTCTGGAAGTATTAGATAATTACAGATTCCACAAAACAGTCCAAATACGAAGAAGATTATTAAACTTGATTTGTTATTTGTCCCTTTGTATCATCGGTCCTGAGAAATAAAATGTCCTCTTTGCCGATTCATTTTACCAGCCTGTCTTGGTTTGCAGTATATTCGTCTTATGTGTTTTTTACTAAAAATCAATCTTTAGCTCTGACAGCAGAGGCAAAGAATGGTTGAATATCCAATATTGATTCCCAAAGGTGTTCAGCTCCTGAATTTAGCATTACGATCGAATAAGAATCACGATTGATTAACTCCTTCATTTATTTTTTTTCTTATAAATCCGATTAGGATTTTCATCAGTCGTGTTTTCTAACGCGCAACATTTCACATTGTCCGTTTTCAACACAATGCAGTGATAGGAAGAAATTAAAGAACACATTGCTTGACTGTTTGCCAATTTAAGTCTGCATCATTTAGCAACCGTTAAGTTCTCAATTCTGCGTGACAATCCGATATTTCACTTGAAGCCAGCAGGAAACATCAGTGTTTGGGGGTTAATTACGTCTGGGGGCCATTTCACATGAATGAAAGTTTAGACGATCTAGAGCTTTCACATGAGTTTTGACATGAAATAGCTTAAATGTTTGTCCCAGGACCGAAGCCGTCTTGACGAAACCTATTATCAAAATTTGAAGCTACTCCATGACTTGAAGAAGCAAATTTTACAAGCTGGAAATTATACATTGAAGAAAAACCCTGATTTGAAATTGACTTTTTCATTATTTCTCTTTTTAACTCTTGTTCTTTTTCTCCCTTTCTCTTTCTTATTCTGTGTCAATTTCTTTCTCTTTCGTCCTTTCTCTCTCATTTATCATTTATCAAACTCTCTCTTGTCCCCTTTCTCTTTTTTATTTCTTTTCTTCCATTTTATTTTCTCCTTCCCTTTTTCTCTCTGTTGTTCTCTCTTTCTTTCCCCCATCATCAAAGCTATTTTTCTCTATAAATACCTAATTTCTATCTCTTGTTTTATGGTCCTTTCTCTTTCACTCTTGTTTATTTTCTCTCTTTTTCTCTTTCAAACTTGTTCCTTCACCTTACAGTGTACTGCTTATGTAACCAATATAAGAATTTAATGTTTTTATTATAGATATTGAAGATGTGTTCCCCCAAAGAACCCAAGAATTCATAAACATATTTGTTTGTTTTTTTACGTTATCATTATTAGTTATCAAGGGCTTATAACTAAAACGTAGATATCCAACGGCATGGCACGTGGAATTAAAGCAATCTACCCTCGTAGACTAAATAAAGGGTTTGGTTTGAAATTCCAATGAATACCACCTGACAAAGGTCCGTGTATACAACGGCCGAAACGTCGTGTATATGGTAATAAATACGAGGACAACAGTACGAACAATGTAAATAGTGTAAATTATTAGGTTATGTGTTAACAGCATTTCATAATAAATGATATATCTAAAACTTCGGCATTTTTTAATATTGTTTTCAAAATTGTTTTTGAGATTTCAGTTTGATCCCAGGCTAAGGAATTCAATGATATTTCTTATACAATAAAACTATATTTGAATTTAGAATGTAACAATGTTCTAGAAATATCAGGATGTAGCCAAAAAAATCTTATCTACTATACTAACATTTAGTTCTTGATAATCACCGAGATGTGTCAAATAAAAAGAGAAAAACATGATCTTTGGACAGTTTATCCACAACTTTCATTTGAATGCACAATTTATTCGAAATTAGATAAATATAATAAAGTTAAATAAATAATATAAATAATAATATAATAAAATAAAATAAAACAATAGAAAAACACCAAACTAGAATTTCCAATTTTTATTTAACCATGCAAAATCATATTAAAAATTTTCTAAATCCTTGGCAATGTGTTGTTATATTATGAACTGCCAAATTTCTTTGGTATTACTTTACAAGAAATAGCGAAAGAAACTTCCCATAAACTAAATAAAGTGTTAAGACATAGGAAAATTTCGTTATAAACATAACAGGATAAGTATGACTACTATGTCATACCTATCCTGTTGTTTGGTAGTGAATGCTGGACAATTTCCTCACCGATGAAGAAGAGACTAGAAACGATGTGGTTCTACAGATGAATGTCAGAACAGACAAGTGAGCGGCGAGGAAACTCTAAAAAAACAAGACATACTAAAAATCAGAAATTTCTGGGGCGCATTAAAACGAAGGACGACTTGGTAAACTTATTTCTGAAGGGTCGTACTTAGAAAAAGAAGGATGTCAACTTATCTATGGACCTTGTGTGAATAGATGGCAGAGCAGAAACGGGAAAGGATAATAAAGCGTCAAACTCTACTTAGAGCTACAAAAGACAGGAACTTGGAGCGAGCCATGATTATTGCTTTATGTACACAAAAATAGACAGGAACCATTATGTACGGAAACTCACCATTATGCATAATTGAGATTAAGAGATATTTCCAAAGACTTTTATATCAATATATTTTCAGTGGATTCTATTGCACCAGCGTTCAAGATCAGCATAGAAAAAAATTCTAACCAATCAGTTTTCTCTGCCCCTGGTTATTTCTGGGGTCTACTTTTTCAGTATAAAATATAGTTAACTCGATTCGTCAGGTTGTAAAAATTCTAACCAATCAGTTTTCTCTGCCCCTGGTTATTTTGGGGGTCCACTTTTTCAGTATAAAATACAGTTAACTCGATTCGTCAGGTTGTAAAAATTCTAACCAATCAGTTTTCTCTGTTCCTTATTTCTGGGGTCCACTTTTTCAGTATAAAATACAGTTAACTCGATTCGTCAGGTTGTAAAAGATTCTAACCAATCAGTTTTCTCTGTCCCTGGTTATTTCTGGGGTCCACTTTTTCAGTATGAAATACAGTTAACTCGATTCGTCAAGTTGTAAAAAAATTCTAACCAATCAGTTTTCTCTGTCCCTGGTTATTTTTGGGGTCCACTTTTTCAGTATAATATACAGTTTACTCGATTCGTCATGTTGTAAAAAATTCTAACCAATCAGTTTTCTCTGTCCCTGGTTATTTCTGGGGTCCACTTTTTCAGTATAATATACAGTTAACTCGATTCATCAGGTTGTAAAAAAATTCTAACCAATCAGTTTTCTCTGTCCCTGGTTATTTCTGGGGTCCACTTTTTCAGTATAAAATACAGTTAACTCGATTCATCAGGTTGTAAAAAAATTCTAACCAATCAGTTTTCTCTGTCCCTGGTTATTTCTGGGGTCCACTTTTTCAGTATAAAATACAGTTAACTCGATTCATCAGGTTGTAAAACAATCTAACCAATCAGTTTTCTCTGTCCCTGGTTATTTCTGGGGTCCAATTTTTCAGTATGAAATACAGTTAACTCGATTCGTCAGGTTGTAAAAAAATTCTAACCAATCAGTTTTCTCTGCCCCCGGTTATTTCTGGGATCCACTTTTTCAGTATAAAATACAGTTAACTCGATTCGTCAGGTTGTTCTGTGAACAGTCCCCATTCATTTACATTAGTCTATTTTTGCAATTGTTTTCATCCGTATTTCGTCGACCCAATCAGAAATAAACTTTGCCTTGATTCCTGTCAATTCCTACTTTTTTCACGTTGACCTGATTTCCCAGTCAATTTGTCATAACAATGATCAAGTCAGATATAAATTGTTTAATTAACGATAATAAATATATTTATTGATCCTACGGTACATACTCCAGCATAATTTTGATGTCTGTTAAAAGTTATTCACCCTAAAACTGCAGAACAGAATTAGACAAAACTTTGCACATAAATGCACGTGACCCTGTGAATATCGAAGACTACTGAAGAAAACAGTATTTCCCCTAATTTGTATCTCAATATACAAAAATGCGTTTGGATGTGAGATCAATGATGTCAATGCTGATTTCATTGATACTTCACATTCTTTTAACATCATATCATTTCATAATAAGTGTACAGTTTTGAATTTTTCGTGCATTTGAAATTGAAAGCCGTGTTTTTAAATTGATTCAATTGATAAGGTTAATTTATCTGAAAAGTCAACAAAATTCATTAAACGAAAATTATATTAAGTCACAGCAGGTCAATCTACATAGTAAAGATCTTTTATGTGCCGTGTCCCTTCAGGATGTGAACGATCATGACTCTCCACAACCTCCTATCCCTTGTAGCCTTTAGAAACTAAATTATCTTGAACAAAACATGAATATCCTCTACCAAGTGGTAGCCAATAAAATAAAACTCAAGATAAACCTTTCGAAAACAGAATTGAAATGAGAACAGTGATGGCTACATAAACTGAATCCATCATAAAAATTAATAACGTGCAATCAGTAAATAAATACTAAAAGGTAAAATATCTCTGTGCATGTATCAGTTACAACACATTTACTATAGGAAATAAGGTAAGTAAACATAGAATAAGTTGCACTAGGTTTACAGTTGTCCAACACAGAAGCAAAATATTAACCTAATTCCAATTTCAGATCCTACTTTCTGTTTTACAAAGGTTATTTACTGGGACACTTGATAGAGGATATCGATTTTTTTTTGTTCAAAATAATTTAGTTTCAGTTGTCGTTGAGTCTGTTGACCTCGAGCCGTTTTGCTTATCGTTTTGACTCAAATGGTTCGCTTGGCGTAAATTTGTGCAGAACTGCCATTTTTGAGTTGTCAGGCCGCGTCCTGTCGG